GGCTGGTGGCCTCTGGCCCTGGGGCTCTTTGGCGGGTGCGACTTCTCTGTTCCTTGAAGACCCTCTGCAGGACACGGTGACGGTGACCTGCAGGCCGTGGTTTCGTGCCCTCGCCCCCGCCCGCTAGCCAGCTCCGGTTCCCCATTTCCCTTTCTGTTCTGTGGGTTGTGCCCCGACCTTCCCTGTTTGTTCCTTTCTGGTGACTTGGGCTCAGTTTGCTCTTCTCCTCGAGCGTCTTAGGTGGGGGTGGCTCGTTGGTCTGAGGCCTTTCTTCTTTCCTGACATAAGCGCTTAGCTGCTGTCTTTGTGGCTTCCCACAAGTTCTGAAGTTTTGTGTTTTCATTTCCATTCCTTTCCAGATGCTGATTTGGTTTTTGATTTCTTTTTTTCCCTCCTGAAATCTTGGTTTCTTTTTGCCATGTGGGTTTTAAACAGTGGAGTTTTCCAGGTGTCTTTGCAGTCTCTTAGTTCGTGGGGCCGCTGGTGTTCGTGGCAGGCACGCGTTGGGTTTTCTCTTCTGTCCTGTTCGGTCCTTCTGCCCCGCGGTGTTCAGAGCACTTGCATCTGGTCCAGGAGCTGAAGCCTCTTGTTCTGCTCTCTGTTTTCTATGTGTCCCATTTGGCCCTGAATCCTTTCCCTCCTCTGGTTGCTTTTGAGTCGAGGGGCGGTTCCCAGCCTCTGCTCCTGTCTTGGAGGGCGAGCGAGCTGGGGCTCCGTGTTGCTGGGGCTGCGGGCCGCAGTGCTGCTCCAACCCCGGGGCGTCCCCCTGTCGCCATGGAGCCTGAGACCCTTGTGGTGGGGACTGACAGCGCTCCTCCCGGTGCGAGTGCTCTTCCTGTCCTGTTACATGCGTGTCACAAACCTGTGATACTGGGTACTGCTCTAGGGGTGTTTCCTTTAAAGAGGTTCAGACCATAAGAACCGTATCTTCTACATTTCCCCACACGGTTACCGCCTGGGGCTCTGCATTCCTCGGTTTAGACCCGGATTTCTCGTGCTCTCCTTCCCTTTTGTTTCTTAGTAGTGTGTGTCTTCGTTCAGTGGACTCTGAGGTTTTTTGGGGGGGGGTACTGGGGATTGAACTTGGGGCACGTGACCACTGAGCCACATCCCCAGCCCTATTTTATTTTTATTTAGAGACAGGGGCTCACTGAGTTGCTTAGCACCTTGCCATTGCTGAGGCTGGCTTTGAGCTTGCGATCCTCCTGCCTCAGCCTCCCACTGTGCTGGGGTGACAGGTGTGGGCCACTGCGCCTGCTACTCTTTGGACTTCGCTGTGTCTGGCAGTACCTTGATCGGCCTGCTTTTTGAGTGAGATCCTTTGCTAGGTGTGAATTCTAGCTTGACACATTTTCTCCCGGTGTTCTAAAGCTGTGTACCGTCATCTGCATGGGGGATTCTGAAGATAAATCCTGCATCCTCCTCTTCTTTGCTCCTTTGTACATAATGTCATTTTTTGTCTACTTTAAAGATTTTTGTCCTCGTCCCTGGTTTCAAGTGAGGTGATTTTGATGTGCTTCAGTGCATCTTCTTTGTGTATCTGGCCATCTGTCGTCAGTCCCCTTATTCTGGCCCTGTCCCCCGTGTGTTTGGGAGATTCTAGTTTCCTTGCTTGAGACCTCTCTGTAGCTCACTGATTCTTTTTTTTTTTTTTTTCGTATTTTTGTGTTCTTTCTTTCGTGTTTTATTATTCATTCATTTATTTTTTGCTACTGGGGATTGAACCCAGGGCTGCTCAACCACGGAGCCACATCTCAGCCCTTTCAACTTTTTGAGATAAGATCTCACTGAGCTGCTGAGAACAGCCTTGAATCTGTGATCCTCCTTTCTTGGCCTCCTGGGATTATGGGTGGGTGCCAGGTTCTCATTTTGGGTAGCTTCTTTTGCTGTAGGTGTTTTTGTTGCTGTTTTAAAGTTGTGGTGAGAACTCCTGTCTTGAGCTCTGACTTCATAGAGCATAGTACGGCATACGTAGCTGTCAGCACAGTGTTGTGCAGGAGATTTCTAGGGCTCACTTGTTTTGGTGTTGAGGATGGCTGAGGGAGGCAGCCTCGGGTCACCCACCTCCTTTGTCCAAGGTCTTGAAGTGTTATTTCGGGTTTTCTTTTTTTGTGTGTGAGTGTGTGTGTGTGTGTGTGTGTGTGTGAGAGAGAGAGAGAGAGAGAGAGAGAAGAGGCGCGTGCCCTTCCTGTTACTCCACCTGGGTCTAATACGAGCCTTGGTCCTCTTGCTCCCTGGAGTAGCTGTGGGACAGTGCCTGGCACCTCGTGGTGGAGTGGAGGATGCGGTCAGCCTGCCATTTGGGGGTTCAGGACGGCTGTGTGTCTGAAGTCTTCATTGTTGCTGACAACATCACCACAAATGCAGCAACCTAGAGCAGCCCCCAGTGGGCCCCGTGTCCAGGCACAGCTGGTCAGCCCCACTCAGGGTCTGCAGGCTGCACGCCGCCCGAGGCTTCCTGGGAAGGTCTGCTTCTGAGCTCAGGTGCTCGTAGGCGGCCTTCAGTTCCTTGTGGGCGGTGGCACTGAGTTTCTTGCTGATTGCTGGCTGGACACTGCGCTTAGGGTTTAGATATGAGGTGGCCCCCAGACCTTCTGTGTTATTGCAAGAATATCTGGGGATGAATGATGAGGTCACGAGAGCCGTGACCTCACCAGGCCATCCTGGTTTGACTGGACTGACCGGCGACGATAGGCAGGTGGGCCAGAGGAGGTGGTCACTGGAGGTGTGCCCAGGAGTTTCCTCTTTCCTGTGGCCCCTTCCCTTGCTCGCCCTCTGCTTCCTGGCCACCATGATGGGGCAGCACTTCTCCACCTTGCTCTTCCACCATGATGTCTGCTCACCGTGGGCCCAGAGCATTGAGTTGGCCCTTGGACTAACCCTCTGAATCTGTGAGCCAAAATGAACTTTTCCTCCTCTGCGTTGTTTTTGTTGGGCATTTTGATTACAGTGACAAAAACCTGACTAGTGGACTTCACTTCATGGCGCTCCTTCAGAAGAACGTAAGGACAGTCTCCTAGCAGGAAGGCGCGAATCTTGTCTGGCGTTGGGGACGGGGCAGCTCATCACTGTTGCCATGTTCTGTTGGTTATCAGCAAGTGCCAGGTCCACTGCACCCAAGGGGAAGGGTCGTGCAAGGTGTGACGGTAGGAACCAGGGTCCTGGGCTGCCTGGGAGTCTCTTGGTCACGTCTGTCAGGTGATGGGCGCTCTGAGGAGCAGAGGCCAGGCTGTCGCAGGCGTCGTGGTCGTTGCTTTACCCAGAGGTCTTTTCAGATCAGGTTGCAGGAAAGTAAGTTATTACTTTAACTTATGAAGGTAAGTGCACACTGACTCACACTCACTTTTACACCATCTCTGTGGTCGCCCCGTTGGTGCTCTTCTTTACGTGGTTTATGTTCTTTCATTTCAACTTGACGGCCTCTAGTGTTCCTAGAAGGGTGGGACCGCTAGTCACGGGTCATTCCAGCTCTTCTTTGCATGGCCACGTCTTATTTTCTCCATCCGTGTCTGGTGGACAGGCTCCTTTCCCCACTGGGTCCCGTCGCTCGTCCTGCTGCTAACATCACTGAGGACACCTGTGAGGGACGGGTGCCTCTTTCTTCTTCCAAGAGTCTTGGTCTTTGTTTTTCTGGCGGTTTGGTTATGACGTGGACAGTTTGGTCGAGGTGTGGGTGTCTTTGAGAAAACTGTATGGAATTTGTGGAGCCCCTTGGACGTGTGGATTCATGTTTTTATAAATTTTGGAGAATTTTCAGCCATTATTTTTTTTCAAATATTTTTCCGGCACCTTTCTCCAGTGTTACACGTATGTGGCTCTGTCACTTGCCTGAGCCCCTTTGTGCTCCTCGGGCTGAGTGGCCTCGCCTCCTGTCCTGCGCGGTCACTGCTGAGGTCTTGGGGAACTGCGCGTGCGCGTTTCGGCTGAGGGGTCTACTTGGTTCTTCTCTTTTTTAATCATTTTTGTCTCTTCGCTTTTACTCTGTTTAGTAAAATAGAGTCTCATACTTCTTTGTATTTGGTTCCTTTTTTCCTTGAACGTATTTAAAAGAGCTGGTGTTCAGAGTTCTCGTCTAGTAAGACCCCCGCCCCGCCCGCTGGCCTCTGGCTGCCTTTCCCCACGCCTGGTCCTCTTCTTGACCCTCTTGTCTGGCGCGTTCTTGTTGGAAACAGTGTTGGAGGCACAGCAGGGAGGCAGCTCTGACGTTGGGGTCGGGTGAGTCACCTCTGAACTACCTACAGCCCGCGTTTGTGGTCCTTTGTGGCCACTAAAGTCTCTTGGTGGCCAGCTAGTGATCAGAGATTCCTCCGGCCTCCTGGAACAGCCTCCTCTCTGAACCAGGCTGGGTGCGGCTCCTAGTCTTCCTTCCTGCTGTGCTGAACCTCAAGGGGAACCCGGGGCAGAGCCTGGGTCTCCAGGTCATGGCTGGGCACGGGCCCAGCTCTTTGGCCATTGCAGGCCATTGTTTTCTCCTGCTGGGGTCCCCTGCCTCAGGACATTCACCCACTATCTGCTCGTGGGATGACACAGTGGGAGAAGCCATTGGTCTGGGGGGCTGGGTCGGATCAGGGTGTTCTTGGAGTGGGGTCTGCTGGGCCGGCTGGATGGCCAGCCTCTGGGAAGGGGATTTGCAGGAGTGGCTGCCAGGCTGCTGTCTCAAGGGTCAGGGCGTGGAGAGGGTGGTTAACTGCACAGGGCTACTTTGCTGAGATGCAGTCATTTTCCTTGAATGAATATTTGCTCCCTGGATTGCGAGAGGATGGGTGCATCTCCAGGGGTCTGGCAGAGCCGGTCCTGACCATCCTCCAGCGCTCTTTCTGCAGAGTGGAGTAGAGTCCACAGAGGCCGCGGCCCTGCCGTTTGCACAGACACCTCTGGCTTTACGCTTGCTAGAGGTCAGACAGGCCACTGGTGGCCGTGTGGCCTTTCAGGCCTCTCCTGGCTGGGAGGGGAACTGGGATGGGGTCCTGGAGCTGTGTCCATCAAGGTGTCTGGTTTTAGGCGGGCATTAGGCCCAGTGGTCAGCACTTGCCTAGCATGTTTGAGGCCCTGGGTTCCATCCCCAGCACCAGAGAGAGAGAGAGGGAGAGGGAGAGAGAGAGAGAGAGAGAGGGAGAGAGAGAGGGAGGAAGGAAGAAAGAAGGGAGGGAGGGGAAAGGAAAGAAAGAATGAACGAGTTCTGGTTCCTCTTGGCACTGTGAGTCACAGCCGTGATTTGCACACATCCTTAGTGGTCCAGAGGCCAGCGGAGCTCTGTCCTGTGCGGTCGGGTGTCCCGCCCATCTCTGGAAGGTCCGTGCAGGAAGTTTCTTGGTGTTAAGCTCACCCACGTGTCTTTAGCGTGGTGCACTCAGGCTGGGAGGAGCAGGGCCAGCATGGACCACCACCTCCTGCCGGGACTTTCCACACTTGTCACCTGTTCTGGTAACAGTTGGATGAGGCCTGGGTGTGGCTCGGGGAAGGGGTCTGCTGTTGAGTGCCAGGGCTGCCGTGGGGCCTCCTGCTCACAGCCTGGACCCTTCCCACCGTGCTGCTCCTGGCCCCTGGAAGGAGCAGCTGTGCAGCGGCCTTGTGTTGAGGCGCCGGTCACGAGTTCCTCTGTGTGGCTAAGGAAAAAGGCCTCCTGTCAGACGCTGCAGCCAGGGCCTGCGGAGACGGGGGCATTCTGTGGCTTGAGACGGTCCAGGGCGGGTAGTGCCAGCGACCGGAGGCTGGAATGGCCGGTGCTCAGAGCTCACACTTGCTGCTGTGTCAGTACCAGGTGGCTGGGACCGCGATCCCGAGTCCCCCTGGCTGGTGTTCCTGGGGCCAGCTTGCTGCACACAGTGCTGTGCAAGGCTGGCCGGCGAGGTGCTGCTGGGCATCTGTGGCGGCTGTGGCTGGACCAGATCAGCCGCCACCACGCCCTGTAGACCGCAGGTCTCTGTCCCCACCAGGAGCTTCTGCCGACGGCCCCCTGAGGCTGCTGCCCGAGGGCTGCTTTGACGTGGTGGTCGTGGACGAGTGTGCCCAGGCCCTCGAGGCCAGCTGCTGGATCCCCCTGCTGAAGGCCAGGAAGTGCGTCCTGGCCGGAGACCACAGGCAGCTGCCGCCCACGGTAGTCTCTCACAAGTAAGGCCGCTCCCCGGGGCCCCAGGTCCAGCAGGACGTCTGTGCAGGGCCACACCTCCTCTCCCGTGTCCCGTGCCATGCCTTCGCTGCCTTCTACAGCTGACCCGCTGGACTGTGCTCCTTGGCAGGGAAGGGGTGCCCCAGCCTGATGGCCGCGGCATGATGCTCAGGGCCTGCATGTCCCTGGTGCTCATCGAGTGTGGCCTGGTGGGGTAGCAGGCCACTTGGTAGGTGCCCTGGACAGAGAACGCAGAGGCCCTGGGGACCCTGCCTCTCCCTGTAGAGGGGTGCAGGTGCCAGGACCCCACACAGGCCCTGCTGGTGAAGGAGGTGCCGTCTGTCCATCCTCCTCGCCCCCTCTTCACCCTGGCCTCCGTGGGCCTCCCTGCCCACTCCTCCTAGACTACGGTCCCCAGGGTGTCGGGCAGCCCCAACTGCAGCTGCCCATCCGAATGCTGCACGGGGCCTCCGCGGCTCGCTGGGTCTCCCTAGAGTCGGCCGTGGAGGCGGCCCTGAGTGGCCGGCTCCAGGAGGCAGGCCACGTCCAGCGAGGCCGCCCAGGAGCTAGTCCCCCAGAGGGCCGAGGTCCCCATCTGCGGCTGGTCTGGGCTGCTGTCTGGACCTGGTGCTTCTCTGGGGCAGTCACGACCAGCCTGGAGCTGGAGGCCAGACGCTGTGCCAGGAGGGGTCGGACCTCTGGGGCCTGCTGATGGGCTGGGACCCCGGCCAGGAGCCTCAGAGAAACGGGGACTGACTGACGTCGTTCCCTCCAGGAGCCTCACGTGGGATGGGGGCGCAGGGGGATGCGGAAGTGGGCGTCGGTGAAGCTGGGCGAGGAGGCTCAGTGTTCTGCAGGGGTCTCCAGGCGTCCTGAGAGGGGCTCTGTCCTCCAGGGAGCTTTCAGATGGACAGGCTGGAACTGCCTCCGTGGGAGTGGAGACCTGGGGGGCTCTGGAGGGGCCCTGCGGCGTTTGCAGGGCCAGAGCTCACCTAGGCTCACTTCCTGGTGACAGTCCCTTGGGGAGCAGTGGTTAAGGACGCAGAGGCCCTCTGCATTCCCACAGGGCGGCTCTCAAGTCACCCCCAGGGACTGGGCACTTGCCCAGTGATTCTGCCAGTCGACGTGGGGGGCAGAGGATAGGCTCGGAGCCGGGTGGCCAGGTGGGATCTGGCTCTCGGCCAGCTGGCTGGGCAGGCTCGGCCTTGGCTTTCCGGTCTCCCTCTCCTTTGTGTGATGTGGGGATTGGAAGGTCCAGTGAGGATGAGGGGTTGGCTCACAGGCGGTGCCCTGTGGGGTCGGCTGCTGGCGCACCTAGATGTTGGGGTGCGTCTGCACTGGTTTCCTGTTGTTGCTGTGACAGCTGGGCACACCTTGGTGGTGACTGCTGGCCTAGGTTTGTGGTCTCCCATTCTGGAGGTCCAGTGTCCCAGGTAGCCTCCCTGGCTCACACTGGAGTGTGGCAAGGCTCTCTCCTCTGGGGGCCGCAGTGTGGCCCCCGGTCTTCAGTATGGCATCTTCCGGCCCCTGTCACATGGCACCTGTGACTCTGGCCCTCCTGCCTCTCTGCAGCCTGGCCCTGTGGTTCTTGCCCGGTGACCCAGGGTCCTTCCCTGTCCACAGAGTTCCTCTGGTCCTGTGAGGGGCGTGTTCTGGGGACATCCTGGGGTCTGACTGCGGACCCCCAGGTCCCCCTGGGTACGAGTCACGGGATGATGGGTGGCTCACATGGCTTCACGGTGGCTTGGGCCCTGCTTCCCTCCTCCCCTGGTGCAGGGCCGCGCAGGCTGGGCTGTCCCGCAGCCTGATGGAGCGCCTGGCTGAGGAGCAGGGGGCGAGCGCAGTGCGGATGCTGACCGTGCAGTACCGCATGCACCAGGCCATCATGCGCTGGGCCTCCGAGGTCATGTACGGCGGGCAGCTCGAAGCCCACCCCTCCGTGGCCGGCCACCTCCTGAGGTGAGTGTCCCCCCTCAAGCTCCCCCCACTGGAACGTGTCCTGGGGATTGTAGCTCAGGGCAGCCAGGGACTGATTTTCTAGAAGGGACTGTGGCCTTGCCCAGGAGCTGGACTGCGTCTGCCCAGCCTCATGCTCTTGGTGCCCAGCACAGGCTCCAGGGGTCAGCCCCTGTGTTTCCGGGTGGGAAGGGCCAGTGCTGTGGTGTGGGAGTCCAGCACAGCTCTCGTCCCCCGTGTGCCAGGGACCTCCCAGGCGTGGCGGCCACGGAGGAGACGGGCATCCCTCTGCTGCTTGTGGACACTGCCGGCTGTGGGCTGCTGGAGCTGGAGGACGATGACGAGCAGTCGAGGGGGAACCCAGGTGAGCGTGCCGTCTGGGCCAGCTGGTCACTCAGATGGCCTAGCGCCTGGAGGTGCTGATGGGCGACAGCAGGCTCCCGTGGGCTGCAGGGGTTTGGAGTGGTCATGCCTGGGGGGCAGCGTGTTGCTCTTCCCAAGGGCAGGCGGATGGCTCCTCGTCCATGGGCGGCACGTCTTCCCATCTCGCCCTGAAGGTGAGTCTCAGGCAGCCCTTGCTCCTCGAGGTGCTGATGGGCTGCCGTCACCCTGGCGTGAAGGGCGGGTTAGCCGGAGTCCTGCACTCCGGTTGCTAGGCCTGGAGCCTGTGGCCAGAGCTGGCCCCCAGGATGCGCCCTGTGGACAGCTGGCAGGGGAGTGCGTCACGCAGGCCTGGTGCCCAGGCTCGTCCCCCTCTGTGAGCCGCTCTCCTCCCTCCAGGTGAAGTCCGCCTCGTCACCCTCCACGTGCAGGCTCTGGTGGATGCTGGCGTCCAGGCAGGGGACATTGCTGTCATCACGCCTTACAACCTCCAGGTGTGAGGGCCCGGCTCTCCCTCTGTCCCTAGGGACTCAGCCAACTCACAGGCCCAAAGAGAAGGGTGACGTGGTGGCCTGTGAGTTGGCTAGTCCTGGACTTGCGTGATTAGAGGCCAGGCAGAGGACTTCAGCAAGATCTGCCTGTCTGTGTCACCTCACTCTGCCCTCCCCACATATCACTCCTCCTGAGTCCCCAGAGTGCGTCTGGCTCTCAGGTGGCCTCCAGGTGGCCAGCAGCCTCCGCGGACGCTGCCTTCCACAGTGGCCCTGGCTGGACAGCTGTCCCTCTGCCGCCTCTCCAGCTGTGGCCGAGTCTCTGGCCAAATTGTGCCCGCCCTGTAGAAGCTGCTGGCCATGTGGGGCAGTGCCCAGGAAGCAGATGCCCCTTCCCCCTCACAGTGTCCACACCGCTGAGGCTGGTGGCTGTTATGAGCCAGGAAAAATGACAGCATCCAGTGGCAGGGCATGTGCCAGCAGATGGCTCCCGTCTGTTCACGCCATGCCCGGGCAGGGGAGGCGGGCACCTCCTCCTGGGCTTCTGCGGGCTCCCTGGGGGGTAGTTCTGCAGCAGGAGCCCTGGCTGAGCAGGGGCGGGTCCCGAGGCCGCTGGGCTTGGGGTGCTGAGGCCGCGGCCTGCTTGGTTGCAGGTGGACCTGCTCAGGCAGAGCCTCGCGCCCAGGCACCCGGAGCTGGAGATCAGGTCTGTGGATGGCTTCCAGGGCCGCGAGAAGGAGGCGGTGGTGCTGTCCCTCGTCAGGTCCAATAGGAAAGGTGCGAGGCCTCGCCAGGGTCCTGTGGGGACAGTGCAGAAGGAGTCAGGTCCCAGGGCGTGGCCGGGCAGCCTCTGTCCTCAGGAAGCTCAGGAGGACCAAACCACCAGCCAGGAAGGGGCCGGGGGCAGAGGCCTGGGCAGGGGACTTCTGAGCGGAGCTCTCCACAAAGAGCCCTGTCAGCCTGGAGAACGGGGCGTGTGTCACAGGCAGAGGGGGCCCAGCGTGGGGTCAGGGAGCCGGTGGAGGGTAGGTGGCTGGGCTGGCGGTCACAGTGGCCTGCTAGTCACCGCCTCAAGGCAGGTTTCTGTGGCTGGGTTTGTTGGTGGCAGCACAGTGTTGGCCAGCGGCTGGGTGAAGCGTCCTCCCCAGAGGGGTGGGAGCAGATTGGAGGTGGCCTGGGGACGCGGTGGCTGGCTAGGCCTGGAGGAGGGGTGCCTGTGGGGGAGCGTAGCCGGTGAGCAGTGTGGCCGTCCCCAGCTGAGGGCAGGCGAAGGGGGGGTGCCCGTGACACTGCGACTGGACCGCGGGAGCGGCCTTCCATCCTCCCTCAGAGCTGGCCCTTCGCAGGTGAAGTGGGCTTCCTGGCCGAAGACCGGCGGATCAACGTGGCCGTCACCCGCGCACGGCGCCACGTGGCTGTGGTCTGCGATTCCCGGACCGTCCACAACCACGCCTTTCTGAAGACCTTGGTGGACCATTTCACAGAGCACGGGGAGGTGCGCACGGCCTTCGAGTACCTCGACGACATCGTCCCCGAAAACTATTCCCACGAGGGTTCCCAGAGCCACAGCCAGGCTGCGAAGGCCCGGGGCCCTGCCTCAGCCAGGCCACCTGGACGCCCACCAGGTGGGCGGCAGAAGGGAGGCCCACAAGCTGCCAGCCGCTGGAGGCGGGGCCCGAAGCCTGGGGGCCCTGAAGCCTGTCCCCAGCCCCACCTCAACGGTGAGGACCCGGGGGCAGCAGGAGGCACAGGGGCCACGGCGCTCTTCAGGGCCACGATCATGGAGTTCCTGGGCGGCGAGGAGACGCAGCTGGAGTTCCCCGCCTCCCTGAGCTCTCACGACCGGCTGCGCGTCCACCAGATAGCCGAGGAGCTCGGCCTGTGGCACGAGAGCTCCGGGGAGGGCAGGGCGCGGCGAGTCACCCTGCGCAAGGCGGGGGCTGGCCGCAGAGCCCCCCAGCCCGCCTCCCAAACAGAGCAGCCCCCCGGGCAGCCGCACAGCCAGGTTCAGCCGGATCTGAAGGCGCTGTCCCTGGAGAGTCCCCCCCTGGAGAAGAGTGGCCACGAGCAGCCAGCCAGGAAGGCGCCACCAGCCGGGAAGGTGCCACCAGCCAGGAAGGCGCCACCAGCCGGGGAGGGGCCACCAGCCGGGAAGGGGCCACCAGCCGGGGAGGGGCCACCAGCCGGGGAGGGGCCACCAGCCGGGAAGGGGCCACCAGCCGGGGAGGCGCCACCAGCCGGGGAGGGGCCACCAGCTGGGAAGGGGCCACCAGCCGTGGGCGTGGGGCTGCCGAAGGCTCCAGACAAGAGGAAGAAGAAGGGTGAGTGGTCCTCGGGGTGCAGCGCCCACGTCCCCACTCACCCCGACCCCCTGGGGGAGTTAGGGCTCTGGGCAGTTCTGCAGGTGAAGCGTCTTTAGCCCGGTCTGGCTCCCTTGGGGCAGTGACTGTCACAGGCACCTTCTTGTCCCTGAGCCTCGGCAGTGCCCAGTAGAGGGCGCCCCTGGGTTCACTGTGAACCCCAGCAAGGGCTGCCCCGCTGCGGGCCGGGGCGTGGGGCCAGGCCCACCCACAGCACTCACCCTGGTGGAGTGTGCACGGCCCCGCTGAAGCCCCAGGATGGCCCTGCGCTCTGTCCGTCCTGCACTGCCCCCGCTTCCACTGGGTGACCGGCCCCTAGGTGGTCAGGCGTGCCTGGCTCAGCCTGGGTTTTGTGGGCACCTCGGGCCGTGTGTCACAGCCACATCCCTGTCAGCAGGGTGGTGACAGGTCTTCTCGTTGGCGGCCCTTGTGTTCAGCATATGGGTGTGGAGCGGCCTCCTGGGGCCGGAGCCGGAGGCCGTGGCACGTCCAGCTCATGTGGACCTGGCTCTGTGCTCCTGCCCCGCAGGCTCGACCTTTCAGCAAGGGCCCTCCCTGAGGACAGGCACCAGCCCTGGGGCAGCATGACAGCTGCCCGCTGGGGGAGCCCCGTGTGCCCACGCTTCAACGGCCCGCTTTCCAGGACACTGGCCGCTCTCCCTCGGAGCGTGTCTTCAGCCCCCGCTTTGCCAGACACAGAGGAGGCCGGAGCCAGGCCTGGGCTACCCCCGTGACAGAGGTGGCACTGGCCATCTGCACAGGCTGTGCCCTTGGCTTTGGGTGGCTCCGTGGTCCCTCAGGCTGTCCTCTGTGACCCACTGCTCCCTGCCATGTCACCCCCACTGGGGCCTGAATGGGCTCTCCCAGCCCTGCCCTCCTGGTCTCCCAAGGACACCTGTGCTGCGGGACGTGGCAGGGAGGGGGGCCTGAGGTCAGCGGGGCTCCCCAGACCTCTCCAAGCCAAGTCGCTTCTGCTCCTTGGGACTGGCCAAGGTCAGCACGTCTCTCCCCTGATTGGGTGGCCACTGGGCCATGTGGGAGCACAGCAGAGCGAACCTTGATGCAGTCCTTTCTCGGGGAGGTGGGCAAGGAGGGGGCATGCACAGGCAGCATCTGGGGGTGTGCACAGCTGCCAGGACCAGCCACTGGCAAGTGAGGCTCTAACTGAGGTCACGGTCTCCTGTGCTGCCCACCTCTGAGGCTGACCATCCTGACCCTGGGAGCCTGGTCACTGCAGGGCACCCACCTGCCAGTAGGGAACAATGTGGGGCACAGGGACAGGGAGGCCAGGCCTGCCTGGTTGCCCAGAGCCTGCGGGGCCAGCACTCAGTGTCCCCGAGTGTAGAGGTGTGTCAGGCACACGCGTGTTTTTCGGGGCTATGCCCACGTGTAACTTGGCGTCTCTTTCTACTCGTGAGCATCTTCCTTTAACCTCAGAGTGTTTCTTCCTGTTAGAGTGTCGAGGGTCTCGTGGTCTTGCCACCTGTGCCCTGTGTGGTCACCCCGCTGCCCCTGGAGTTGGCCTGCATGCTGGCCCGGGCTGCTCTCCCTGGGGCAGGGTCTTCTGGTGAGGCCCTCTGAGGACTCCATCTGCACTGGCCGCCGCTTCCAGCCCTGCTGTGGGTGTTCAGCAGGAGGAGGGCTCAGGCCACTGGTCAGCGAGGAGCGAGGGCCAGTGGAGTCGCGGGGCCCGTGGCCTGGACCCAGTGGGTTCTGCTGAGCACGGTCGGCGCTGTGCCAGACCTGGAGGCAGGAGCCTGTGCTCAGGGTGGGATGGGCGCGGCCACTCTGCCTGGGTGCCCAGCAGGCTGTTCTGCCTGTCTTTCCCCCCTGCCTCAGTGTCCCCTCTGTCCCCAGGACGTGCGGCCCCAGCGGCTCCTGCCGAGGAGGACCTTGACGCCCTGCTGTCGGCTGCCATGAAGGCCGATAGAACCTGTGCCTTTGCCAAGTGCTCGGCCAGCGTCGTGACCCTCGGCCAGCTCTGCCAGCTTTGTGGCCACCGCTACTGCCTCAGCCACCACCTGCCCGAGGTCTGTGGCCCTCTTGTGGGGGGCAGCTCTGGGGACCTACCCAGTGGAAATGCCTGCTCCCCCAGCCCCCACTGTCCTGGGGGTGCTTTCTTTACAACAGTCAGACCTGGACTCAGACTCGTGGACACCTGGGCCAGGTCAGAGGCCGTCCTGCTGAGTCATGGCCATGCTGGTGGGGACTTGGTTCCTCCATGGGACAGTCTGCTTCAGGGGAGGGGGACATGGGATGTGTGGTGGGGCCCATGGTGGCCCTGGTGACTTGCATTTGTTCCTTGAGCACGTCTGGGTGAGGAAGCCCCACCAGGTGTGGGGGCTGTGGGCACCAGGCCAGGCAGGGGCCTCGGGAGGTGCTGGGCCTGGTGCTGGCTTGGGAACGAGAACAGCACAGGGGTCAGTGCCAGTGCCCAGCACTCTAGGAGCCACGGAGGCAGTGGGCGGCCCCCACCAGTCGGGGTGTCGGGGTGGGCTGAGGCTGGGTGGAGGTGGGAAGTAGAGGCCAGGCCGGCCTGGAGAAGTTGGGCAGCAAGACTGCGGCCTGGAGAGGCTGGAGGCAGCAGGAAGTGGCCGTGGGGACCGTGTGGTCAAGCAGGGGTGCCATTTGCTGTCCACATACTTTGACGGGCCTGCTGCCAGCCCCAGGTGGATTGTAGCCTCCAGTGTGAAGGCCAGACCTGCCGGGAGGAGGGAAACTGTCCAGGGCCTCACATGGGGCTCCCAAGGTCCCTAAGCCCTTGGACAGCAGGTCTGCAGGCTCCTGTCCCACCCTGACTTTCATGTCCCTCTCAGGTTCACGGCTGTGGCGAGAAGGCTCGTGCCCACGCCCGGCAGAGAATCAGCCGCGAAGGCGTCCTCTATGCAGGCAGCGGGACCAAGGACAGGTCCCTGGATCCAGCCAAGAGGGCTCAGCTGCAGAGCAAGCTGGACAGGAAGCTGGGCGAGCTCAGCAGCCAGAGGACGAGCAGGAGGAAGGAGAGGGGCACGTGACCCGACCTGCCCCAGGAGAGCCTGCGCGGGCCCACGCTGCGTCCCCAGGCTGGCTGTGACCTGGGGCAGGGCTGGGACAGCAGCATGTCCCTGATGAGTGGCTTGGACCTCGAGCTGTCAGCTGCAGAGCTGGGGAGGCTGCTGAGGTGGGTCCTGTCAGCCGCTGGCCAGGGCCTTCCTCCTGGCTCTGTTCCTTGTGCCTGCAGCGACCCTCGTCCCTTGGGGCCCCTGTCTGTCAGGAAGGCTCCTGGCCTGCTCCTGCCCTTCCTCTCGCTGGGCTTGGGGACTAGGTGAAATGGCTTCTCCCAGTTGACGGTCCCGGAGGAGTGTCCCAGACCACCTGTGTGGCCGATGCCCGCTCCAGGCCTGCTCTGAGCGCGCTCCGTTGTTCTCTGCCATGTACTCTATTTGCCAGAATCTCATTGATGTCATTAAGACCCGGGTTTTTGTTTCCGAGGTGTGTAAGTTATTTAAAGATGAAATAAAACCGTGTGCACCGGCCCGGCATGCCTGCTCTGTCTAAGAGGAGCCTCTTCTCTTTCTGGCTCCCATGTCCCTGTCCTGGGGTGGGAGGAGCCAACCGCACCTCAGGCGGGGGCTGCAGCGGGGCCGGGTGTGCACCCCGCAGGTCAGGGTGCCCCTGGCTTGACTGGAGAGTTGAGCTCTGTCAAGCTGCTGCCTCCCTCCTCCGCCTCCGGGCCCACCCTTCCTCCGGGCCTCAGGAGGCCTCCGAGGGCCTGCAGGGGGCTGCTGTGCTGTCCCCAGGGCCCTCCCGCCAGGCCCCTGGCTGCAGCCACTCTGCTTCTGCCAGTGCAGGCCGCCCTCTCCATCCTGCCCCGCCCAGTGCCCAGCCTGGCCTCCCTCGGGCTAGACGCTGTCCTGGCTTGCTCCCAGAGTAGCCCTGGGACTGAGTGGCCCACTGGGGAGTGAGCCCGGGTGCTCTGCCCCTCGCCATGCTGCGGCCCTCTTCAGACTGCTCTGGGACAGGGTGGCCTCCCGGGGCCACAGGGGTGCACCACTGTGTGCGGCACCTCCTTGTGCTTTGTAAGAGCCTCAGTGAGCAAAGACCCAGGGCTGAGACGTGCCGGTGGTGCTGAGCGTCACACACCGATGGCTCACGGTGCTGCTCGTGTCCCTGAAACAGGGAAAAGTGTTTGCAAAGGGTCCTTCGGAGGCCGGAGGTGTCCACGGTGAGGCTCAGTGCAGGGCTGCTGGGCACAGGGGTACGATGCCCTCCCTGCTGGCTGGGGTGCCGTGACCAGGAGCATCCTCCTGGGACCTTGCTGGCAGGCGTTCGTGGGGGTGGCTCAGACAGTGCCCTGGTGGCAGGGAGGTAAGCCCTAGAAGAAGGAGCGCCTCCCAGATCTTGGGGACCAAGTTCAGCCCCTTGTGAGGGGTGGGCTGCTTGGGCTTCATGGGGGTGAGGGGTCCCTTGAGGACTCCTGTCCGTGAGGCACCTGCCCGTGTCCCCTGGTGGTGAGGGTGAGCACAGTCGGAGCCCCAGCTTCAGGACCGGGTCCTTCCCAGGTCCCTTGTCTGTAAAACCGGGCGGCAGTGGGACCGTCCCACGGTGGTTCTGAAGATCGGGTTTTGTGCAGAGCCCTGGCCACCGTGCCCAGTGCCGTCGCCTTCGTCACCCTGCAAGGCTGCGGTGACATGCGGGGCTATAGCGAGCAGCCTGGCGTCTTGCTGTGGCGGGGTCGAGGGTGCCCTGGCCGGAGGCCCCCGTGGAAGGCCAGGCTGGCAGCGGCCCGCTGTGTTTACTCTGGTTGTTCGGGGCGCTGCCCGGAGGCCCGGCCCGAGGGCTGCTGGGCTGCTGGGAGGTTCGTCACAGCCTTGGCACCGAGGGGGACCTTCATTGGGAGCCAGGAGCGTGGCAGGAGCTGCGGCCTTATTTGGTCTGGAAACTTCTGAGAGTGGAGGAAAGGGGCAGCAGGGCAGCGGCCCTCTCCTGGCGGGCAGCCGTGTGGCCGGCTCCCAGCGTGGATGTGCTGTCCAGGCCTGCTTCCCTGCCTTGGCCGCCTGCCTCGTCCAGCAGCGCGGGCCTCTCGGCGGAACCGCAGCCCGGCTCTCGGGGCTCCTGGGATTCCCTGGGCGTCCCTGGTCACCCAGCTCGTTGAGCCCAGTCCCCACCCTCCTGAGGACAGTGAGGCGGAGTCCGTCACGTGCGCCCATCAGCCATCCCCTGGGGGCTCCTGGGGCCTCACTGGCCTTCGTCCTCGGCCTGGTGCTCTACTCGGGGCTGCGCCTGCAGTTCAGTCGTGGCTGGCGCAGGGTGCTTGTGTCGTGGTCAGGGGCGTTCTGCCGCGTGGGCAGGCCGCGGTCTGCTGCCCGTGGGGGACCCAGGCCACCGTGAGCATCCGCCTCCCCGTGCCGGTGTGAACGGTCCCTTTCTGTTTCTCTTGGCTGGGCCCTAGATGGGGTGTCTCCGTGTCCAGGGTGACTGTCCAGGGAGCTGTGGGGCTCTCTGGAGTGGCCAGGCAGGGAGGCCGCTGGGCAGACGGGGGAGCCGGAGTCTGAACTGGCCTTTCCTTAAAGACGGACAGTGTCGGGCACCTCCCAAGTGGCCCCGCGTCCTGCCTCTCCTCAGGTGACTTCCTCTCTGTGCCTCTGGTAAGGACACTTGTCACGGAGCGTCCATTCCGTCTTTCACCCCCTCCTTTGGCAGCCACGTGAGTGGATACTTGACGGAAGAGGTCCAAACCAGGACCCTGTGTCACCTGGCGCCCACTCCACCCCGTGCCTGCTCTGGGTGGGCGGTTGGCCTTGTCACTGAGGGGCGTCCCTGTGTTCTGGGTGACAGTCTCCATCCGGTGCCTGGGCACAGGCGTTGTCCTCTGCCTCGCGGGTGTTGGTACTTGGACGCCATCTTTAGAAGCATAAAGGGTTTTAACCCCGTGGGGTCCAGTTTGTCCCACCTCCCAGGCCTGTCTCGGGGCTGTGCCTTTGGGCCGGGCCTGAGCTCTGGAGCTCGCCGCGCGTTCTGGCGGACTTGCGTGGGGTCAGCGCGGGCGTCCGGGCCTGCCACCCGTCCCAGCTCACCTCGGCGTGTGGCGGCTTTCTCTGCATGCGATGTTGGGGGTCCAGCACTGTTGGCTGAGCAGCCTGTCCTTCCCCATTGGGTGGCCTTCGAGCACCCTGTCCAGATCCTCAGCATCGCCCCCCTGACCCGTGGGTCCCCCTGATGCCACGGGCTCCACCATGGGCCCTGGTCCCCCAGTGGAGGTGGCCCCTGCGGGGACACGGAGGGAGCCGTTGGGAGCCACACTCCAAAGGGACCCCTGTGCCAGACCCAGACGAGGCAGGGCAGCTGGGACGAGGAGGCCGCTGGGTCCTGGCCTGGTCAGCCGCAGGGGCGGCAGGAACCGTCTGGAGGGGGGCACCCGGGCGGGGCTCTGACTCACCCAGGGAGGAGGCTGTGCCCCTGCCAGGCTGCATGACCCTCCCCGACTCCAGGCACAAAGCGGCCATTGGTCGTGCTCAGGGGCTCGGGCTCGGGAGTTGGACAGAGCTCAGGGGCACACAGGACTCAAAGGCTGGCGGCCTGCTTCCAGGGGGCACCAACACAGAGGGCACCTTGGTCCCGGAGCTGCCCGAGGGGCCAGAGTGGCCCGGTCTCCGCCTGCGGCCCAGTGAGGGGTCCCCAGTGAGTCCACTGCGTCCTGCTGGGGCTCTGCTCTGGACGGCGCCTCTCCTCGCTCCCGGCTCTGGGCCTAGCCAGGTGCCAGCTCCTTGCTGATGACGTGAAGGTGACGATGATCAGCTTTGGCCTCGTGCACCTGTTCCCAGGGAGATACTTAATTCGTCACACTGGCCACGTCCAAACCCAGGGCCTGAGCACCCTGGGGAGTGGACTGAATGGTGCCCCAAAGACCCACCCTGTTCTGGTGCCGTGGAGGCCACCTTATTTGGAAAGCGCCTGGGCAGTTGCACTTACGGATCTAGAGATCACTGCCTGGGTGGGCCCTGCGCCCGTGACAGGTGTCCTTACCAGAGGCTCAGAGAGGAAGTCGCAGGCAGAGATCAGGGTGACGTGGCCACAGCCAGGAGCGCAGAACTACTCGGAGCTGGGGGTGGCGGGAAGGGTCCTCCGTGGCCCTCCACCTCCAGGGCCCCCTGTGTCACGGCAGCCGCAGAACCACACCTTCCAAGTCTGCAGCCAGCTCCGCTGCTTGTCCCTGTCCTGAGTGTCCCGTGCGCCTGGCTTTCTGTCAGCCCCTCCCGTCTGCAGGTCCCGGTGCTGTGCCTTCCACCCGTGCCGGGCCCTGCTGCCCCTCAGCCCCTCAGCCCTGGCCTTGCTGGACTCCCCACGCCCCCACCCCTCACCTGCCCGATGCCTCTGCCCGGCTGCCGCAGACCTGGTGTTCCCTGCCCCCGCTCTGAAGTTGGGCCAAGACCCTGCAGCCATGTCCTTGGACTCCTGTGCCTCTAGAGGGCGCCCGGGGTGGCAGAGGGACTTGGGCCTGTGTTTTCCTGTCCCCTGTCACTTCCTCACTGGGGTTGGCCCCTCTCAAAGGCTTCTTCTGTGCTGCCAGGCCATGGGGCCTCCACAGCGCCCTCATCTGAGGCCTGTGCTCGGGCTCTGCATCCTGAACCGGGTCCCCTCCTTCCTCCCGGGGCTCCCATGCAGTGCCCCACGTGACCTCCCTGTAGGACCGCCCTCCCCGGGAGCTTGCCCTTTGTCCTGACCTACCCCCAGGGCAGGCCCAGTGCCAGCCTCCCGCCATTCACTGAGACCCCGTCAGAGGGCTCCTTGGAAATGCCGCCAAGCTCCGGGCACTGCCACCCGCCTGCGCTGACTGGAAAGGGAGGACCGTGGAGCCAGGGCGAGGTTTGCAAGTGGCCCTCTTGCAGCTCTGCCCCTCGGCGCAGGGCTTGGCCGCTGGTTTGTGGCAGCCAGGGTTTTTCTGTTTTCCCCCAGTCCTTGGTTGACCCAGGGCCCTTTACCACCGCGCACACCCCCAGCCCTTTCTGATTTATTTTGAGAAGGGTCTCTCTGAGTTGCTGAGGTGGTCTCAGACCTGTGATCCTCCTGCCTCAGCCTCCCGAGGGGCTGGTATAACAGGCGTGGGCCACCACACCTGGCTTCCAGTGCTGGGGACAGACTCGGGGCCTAGGGCTGGGCAAGTGCTGTCCCCTGAGCTGTGGCCCCAGCCTGTTTTCCTCTTCACTGGGGCCGATCCACTGGGGGCAAGATGGGAGCTGGGGGCAGTGTTCATGACGTGCGGCGGTGAAGTCCTCGAGGCTTATTTCTTTGAAAGGAGAATGGCCACAGCCCTCCCTTGGAGCTGTCTTGAAAGGCACAGTAGATGTTCGCCAGCTGTCGCTGTCCCAGGGCACAGAGCCCGGAGCCTCGTCCTCCCCCTCGCCGAGGTCCTCACCCAGCCTCCGCTCCTGCCTCCGCGTGCGGTGTCCCTTTCTCTGCCGCCGGGTTCCTCCTGCTGACCCATCTTCCTCGTGTGTGTGACCTGGTGTTTTGATCTGTCCCCCCGGGGACTGGC